CCCCAAAACCCCAAAACCCCTCTTCAAGTAATAATTGCTATTAAATACCATATATAAATAAACTAATTATTTTATTCCTTTTGTAATAATAATGTAAGGCACTCTATTATTTGAGCAGCTTTATCGTCATAATATTATCAAATTTATGACTACTTTTCATAGTATTCTGCCATTTCAGTGAATTAAAATTCTTGGCAAATTTTATGCATTTCTTTGAATCTTCTTTTCACATCAAACTGCATATTTGACTATAGTTTTCTCAAGCAAACTGGGCATAAATCTAAAAATATGCATTAAACAAATAAGATTTACATCTTTTAAATCTTCTTTATTCTTCATAACTATTGAATCCATTCATTATACATTCGTAGAAAGTGCAGTGAGTCATCCCAAACATATGCCCTATTTCATGAACCATGACATAGCAAGCATTTTCCAGCAATTCATTTTCTGCTTTCTTCTTTTCCTCTGGTGATTCTTCTTCTTCTTCTTCATCTTCCTCCTCCCCATAATAATCTCTGTCAAAATTAGGATGATATCTACCAAATGAGAAAACCCCAGTCCTTGAGACATAGTTAGCCCATCCAAAGACATAATTCCAAGAATCAAAGGGGTACAAATCCTCCATAGTAACTGTCAGCATGCAATAGGCATCTTTGGGAACAAGTCTAAAATATTACAACATATTTAATCTCTTACGGTAAAGTTTTTTTTAAAATGACATTTGCATTATATTAATTCTGTCCCACTTGCCCCTCTCTACTTGGTACTTCCTTATCTTAAAGAAATGTACTAGATTCAGGCTTTTTAATTTAGATCTTCATATCAGTGTAAAAAGCTTCGCAATACCTTTGAAGCTTAGCTGCAAACTCATCTAATATTGATTTATCTATGACAAAGATATAAATCTTATTTCTTGCAGGAGTTACAAGATTTTTTACTCCTGGCTTCTGATAGATATCAAAAGTCTAATCTTTTTCCTTATGACTGCAAAGCCAATCTCCTTTCGAAATTAATTTCTTCGGCATTTGCTGCTTCTCAGCGTTCTATAGGATAGACTTGAGACATTTATCTTGACATGACCTAATATCTCCTAATGCTTAAATTCTCAATTATTTTGTGCAGATTTCATCTCCTACCTTAAGAACTCTAGGCTTTGGTTTTATTTCAGGGGCATGGCTTTTCGACCTTGCACCAGGTACTTTATTATCTGGGATTTTATTGGTATTTGTTCTTCTTTGCATTTAAAATATAAGTCTTTATTAAATAATTTTTTCATCAGTTTAAATAGCCATCTATGAATTTCAATCATTTATTCATGCTAATTAATACTTATGGGGTTTTGGGGTTTTGGGGTTTTGGGG